TCATTCATGTCAATATGAATTCGTAGATATTTTGTATTTTTAGTTATAATCCAATACTCATTTACACTGTTGCTCAACTGGTTCCAGCTTTGGACGTAAGTCCGTCGATTGGCTCCGGTGTCCTTTTGACAAACCCCTGTCCCTGGAGGTCATTCTGTTGCATTCTGTGTGAGCACATCCTTCCTTGCTCCCCCCACGCCTATCTTGGGTCCCCCTTACCCTCTTGGAGTTGGCCTTTCTCCGGGTGCCTTGGTGCCTCGCACAGGAAATGGGACTAGAAGCCAAGCTCTGGGGCCAGGTGTGCTCTCTGGAGCCTTGATTCGAGGTCCCGTTGGCCGGCCGAGCAGGGGAAGGCAGGCGTGGACTCTAAGCCAGGCACGCACACTTAGCTGTGCACGTGGCCATCTGGAGCGGGATTTGGCTGACCGTGAGTGTGTGCATGTTGTCGGCTTGCCTGTAAGTGCCCACTCGGGGCTGCAGACCTCTCGCCTCCGGCAGGCAGCCCTCCTCCAGAATCTCTTGATTCCAGCGTGAGAGCACAGCAGCCTCAGAGGGGTCGGCTCTCCGCTGCAGTGTGCAGCTTACATAGGGCATGTTTTTCTTTAATTTTCAGAGTCCACTCGTCTCTAACATTTACTTAGGTTACCACCTTTTCCTCCAACCTTCAGTAAGGTCGTTTCCTACACAATAAAACTGTTCAATTCTTTTGTCACATTATGCATGCCATCCTGGGACCCCACAGCCTCCTAAATGATATTTTAAAATTTGCATACTTTCCCGTTTGCTCTCTGCGCCGTGGAGTTCTTCGGGTTTTGACAAGCGCTGAATGTCTTGCCTTCTCCATTATGATATCATTCAGAATCGTCTCAGCGTCCTTAAAAACTCCCCTGTGCTTCACCTATTTAACACTTTTCTTATTCTGAACCCTCAGAAAACACTGATCTTTTCATTGTCGTTATAGCTTTGCTTTTTCTAAAAAGTCATCTAACTGGAGTCTCATAATGCAGTGATTTTTCTTACTGGCTTCTTTTACCCAGCAGTGTGCATTTCAGTTTTTTTTGTTGTTGGTGTTGGTGGTGGTGGCGGCTTGATAGCTATTTCTTTTTATCACTAAGTAATGTTACATTATATGGATATGCCAGTTTATTGATGCCATGATTAAAGGACCTATCAAGGGGCCGGCCTGTTAGCTCAGTGGACTAAAGTGCCTGCATAGGCAGAGAACAGCAGCCAGGGCTTTATCCCTGGCATGCCATGCGGGCTCCGCCTCCAGAGCGTGCTGAGACAGCAATTGAGACTGGGCATGGTGGCGCACGCCTGTAATCCCGCCACTTGGGAGGCTGAAAACAGGAGAATCACTATGAGTCCGATCTAGGTAGTAAGACCCTATAGACCTTGCAGACCCTGTCCTAAATACAGAAACAAACAAACAGAAAAAAAAAAAAAAAAAAAAAACCCATCAGTTGCTTCCAATTTTGGGTCGTTGCTTGTTTGATATTGTTTTGTGGGTGAAGGTTTCCAAATGGTCTTGACACAAGAATTCTTAGAAATAGTGATGATTGCTGGATTGCATCCGCTAAGCCCACATTTTGTTTTTCACGTAGGGCCTTGAGCATGGCAGGCAGCGCTGTGCCGCTGAGCTGCACCCCATTCCCTTTTATTTTGAGACGGGGTTTTGCTGTGTCAGGCTGGAGTTGAACCTGCCGTGTTGCTGCCTTGCCTTTCCGAGTAGCTGGGATTGCAGTGCATACCACCGTGCCTGGGTCTCTAGTTTTTCAAGAGCAGACCAGATGGCCTTCCAAAGCAATTTGCCACTTCATATTCGTATGAGCAGTGACTGGGAATCCCTGTTAATCTGTTTCCTCACTAGCAGTTGGCGTTGTAAGTAGTTCGCATGTTAGCTGCCCTGTGAATGTATATGTCTGTCGGCTTTCATCGCCTTGTTTTAATTTCCTAATGAAAAACCGTGATGAGCGTTTTTCAGTATGTTGGTTTGCTACCTTTTCAGCTCTTTCCTCCATTTTTAAATATAGGATTGTTTGTTTTCTCTTCCGTTTTCAAGAATTCCAGGCTGGCCAAATAGCTCAGTGGATTAAAGCACCTGCAAGCAGGAGCAGGGGCTGAGGGTTCGATCCCCAGGGCTGCCGTGCCGGCCCCGCCCTGGGGCACACTGAGACAGCAATTGAGACTGGGCGTGGTGGCGCACGCCTGTAATCCCAGCTGTTGGGAGGCTGAAAACAGGCGGATCACTACGAGTCTGATCTAGTAGTGAGACCCTGAACACCCTGTAGACCCTTCCCTAAAACACAGAAGAAAAAAGAATTGCTTTCATATTTTGGATACAAAATCTCTCATACATGTTTTAAACATATTATTGTCCAGTATGTAGCTTGTTTCATTTTCTCACCAGTGTCATTCAAGGAACAGAAGTTTGGAATTTTGATCACCTGAAGTTACTAATTTAAGTTACCAATTTTTGTTTCATGGAACTTGTTTTTGGTGCTGTATCTGAAAAGTTAACAGCAAACCCAAGGTGCTAGAGTTTTATCTTGTACCTTCTAGATGTTTTATAGTTTTGCATTTCATGTTTTGCGCCATGATTCATTTTGAGTTGGTTTCTATGGAAAGTGTAAAGTCTCTGTCTACTGCTTTTTCTTCTGCAAGCAGGGTGTGTGTTTCAGTACCGTTTGTTGAAAAAGACTGTCCTTTCTCCACCCAATTGTCCTTATCCTGTCACCGAGGGTTATTTTACTGCATCTATGTGGGTCTCTCTTGGAGTTGCTGTTCTATTTCATTGATCTTACATATCAATATTTTCACTGTCTTGATTATTATAGCTTTATATTAAGGTTTGGAATCAGGTACTGGGAGTTCTCCAACTTTGTTCATACTCTGAATTATTATTTTGGCTATTCTAGGTGGTTTTCCTTCCTACACAAAAAACTAGTTTGATGATGTCTATTAAATATCATGCTGGAATTTTGATTGCTATTACATCAAACCTATAAGTTAAGTTAGGAAGAATTGACATCTTAAAAATGTTGAGTGTTCTAATTCACAAACAGAATGTCTCTCCACTTATTTAGATCCTTTTTGATTTTTTTCATTAGAGTTTTGTAGTTTCCTGCAAAGAGGTCCTGTACATATTTTATTAGATTTATATGTAAGTAGTTCATATTTTGGATGCTGTTGCAATTAGTATTATTTTTAAATATCAAATTTCAACCCCTTGCTGGTATGTGGGAAAGTAACTGACCTGTATATTAACCTTATATCTTGTGACCTTGCTGAAGTTGCATATTAGTTGCAGGAATAGTTGATTTTTTTTCATTTAATTCTTCAGTGCTTTCTAAGTAATCTTGCCATATGTAAGCAAAATTCATTGTATTTCTTCTCAATTTCTAGAATCTAGCCCTTCCCTTTCTTTCCGCTTTCCCTTTTTTCTTGTGTCTGTACAGTAGCCTGGACTTCCAACATGATGTTGAGCAGGACAGATAGCACTCTGTCCTTGTTTCAGATCTTAGAGGGAAGGCATCTAGCTTCTTACTGTTAGGGCTGATAGTTGCCAGAGATACCTTGTAGCCAGAGGTGGCTGTGCTTTGTCAAGTTGGGGAAGTGCCTTTTGGCTGGATTTTGTCACATGCTTTTCCTGCATTGATTGGTTTGATCATAGGACTGTTTTCTTCTTCAGCCTACTGATACAGTAGATTACATTGACTGGTACTCCAATATTGAATCAGCTTTGCATATGTTTGTAGCACATAATTCTCTTTCCACTGTTGGCATTGATTTGGTAATATTTTTGAAAACTTGCTCATCCATGTACATGACAGATATTGGCCTAGAGTTTTGTTTTCTTATCATATCTTCATATGGTTTTGGTATTTGAATAACGCCACAGGATGAAAGTGCTTCTGATTCTGATTTATGGAACAGATTGTGGGAGCTGGTGGTATTTCTTCCCTAAATGTTTGGTATAATGCATTTGGGTCTAGTACATTTTCTTTAAGAAGATTGTTAATTATTGAGTCCATTTCTTTAACAGAAACCAACTGAGCTTGTGTATTTCCCATTTATATTTTGGAAATGTACGTAACTTCCAAGCAAGTTGTTCTATTTTATCTACGCTATCAAATCAATGGGCAGAAGATCATTCATAGTACATCTTTATTACCCTTTCAATGTCCCTTTGATCAATAGTAACAACTTTCTTTCATTTCTGATACCAATAATTTGTGGTCCGTCTCCACAATCCAGGTTGGGAAATTTTCAGAATACTCATTTGGGCGTGTCTTCCACAGGGCTCTCAGGGGCTCTTGACACTTCTAACGGGGAGGTTGACAGCTGGGACGCATCCTGACCCTATCTGGATCTTTCATTAGTTTTCAAATCTGTTCAACCAGGGTGCTCTTAGGCCATCTGGAGTGCTAATATGTAAGATGTAAAGATACAGACTGTTATAGTTGATTTGGAAGAGGAGAAAGACGTGAAGACCCTACCTCAGGACATCTAGTTCCCTAGAAAGCACTGGGGTCTCAGCGCCCCAGCTCTGTGGTATTGAATGAGATAATGCTAACCAAGTGTTTCAGAATGTGTTTATTAGTTCAAAATACAAGTTGGAAAAAGGCTAGTGACTGTGGCTGCTCCTCATAACAATTCCTCATCGGTCACATGCAACCACCAGTGGGCAGGGCCGCCTCTCCAGTGCTCAGGGATTCTCTGTGGTCAAGAATAAGGCCCTGCTCATGGTGTGCGGGAAACAGGGGGGTCAGGACTGCAAGGCCAGACCCTTCATGGAGAGCTCCCCGGGTGCTCTTCAGACTTGGGGATGCAGCATCCAAGACCAGGGCTCTTCACCACCCTCCCCCGCCCCCAACAGAGAGAGCACAGGGCCCGGCCCCATCTGCACCTCCGCACTGGAACTCCAGGTGCTCTCTGGCTGCATTCTGGAGGGACTGTGGCCTGGGTCTGTTTCTCACTTTGCTTGTCTGCTGTTGAAGGTTCCGCTCTGGCCAACGGGGGGCTGAACCTGCACAGCCCCGCAAAGAGGAAACTGGAGACTGAGAAGGACTATGTCTTTGATAAGAGGCTCAGGTACAGCGTCCGCCAGAACGAAAGCAACTGTCGGTTTCGGGACATTGTGGTGCGAAAGGAAGAAGGCTTCACGCACATCCTGCTGTCCAGCCAGACCTCAGACAACAACGCGCTGACGCCCGAGGTAAGGCAGTGGGCTCCAGACCTCTTTGCCTGTCCTTTCTGTTTCCATGAGAGCAGTGGACACAGATGGTGATGGAGGACACAGTGACCCAGCTCAGAGCTGACAGGACGCACTGATGCTGCATTTGGACCCACACACTCAGGGAGACCCTGGGAGTGGAGAGGCTGGGGTGCCGAGTCCTTGGACTTGTGGTCGTGTGTCTCACCCTGTGATTTACACAGGCGATGGCTCTCCTATGGGACGGTGGGGCTCACTGTGCAGCATGATTGCAAATCCTGAGGGAGACCCCATGGCTTGTACCTTAGTGTTTGTGGGACTGGCAGGTGCCGGTTGCCTCTCCCCTAAGCACAGTGCTCTGAGAGACTCCCCTCCTCTGTCTTCAGCAGGAGCACACCGGGCTTCTCTGTCACGTGGGCCCAGTCCAGGTAGGATTCCAGGGACCCCAGAGCGCAGCTCTACCTATGGGCGGCTCCTCACATGTTCACACACGTGGAAACCGTGTTATTTTTAAGCTCATTGTGACACATCCACACGAGACTGATTCTTCTTTTTTCTACTTCACTACTTTTTAAAAGCATGCTTTAAAAAGGTATAGCATTTTCCTTCAACAGATCAGATAAAGGTGATGTCTCCCAGCTCTCTCTCGGGAGCAGCTTTGTGTGTTAGCTGTTTCCCATTCATACCAGAAGCTGTGTTGTGCTCAGCTGAGCCAGGGTGCCCGGGTCCTCACCCGCTGAGCCGTGGGCATGGTTAATTAGGGATTCCATTCCTAATCAGCGTTGGTCTGTTACAGAATGGGAGGAAAAGGGAAAAAGCTATCAATCCTGTAATTTCAGCTGTCTTCACCAGAATGGATTGACTCTGTGGGTGAGCCAGCTGACTGGGTAAAGTAGCCCTGAAAAAAAAAAAAAAATTCTGCTGAAGCGCAGAGGCAGTGTTGGAAAAGGAATGCAAATGCCGAAGCCTAGCAGTCCCTGGGTTTGACTCCCACCTCCACCAGCTCACCACTTCTGTTACTTTGGGAAGTTACTTCGCTTTTCTTAGCCTCCTTGGTTGCAGAATTTACTGTCTATTTGTGAGACTGGAGCCAGTGTACGCAGAGGCTTCCAGAGTATCTGGAACGTAGGAGTCATAAGTGTTCTTGTTGTCATTAATATGAACCAAAGGCCATTCAGTGGTCACCAGCAGACCAGCCTCTCTTATTGGGTTGGAAACTGGAAGGGAACCACTTCTAAGTCCCAACAGACTCTCTAGTGGTCCATGTGTCATTGGTTGAATTGGCCACTGAGGCAGAAATTCACTCATTACCGGCAGCGAGAGCCAGGTTTTGAGGCTAGGGGGCACTCTGTGCTGCTTTTCTTGTCTGGAATATAGCAGAGAACAGGGAGGTTACCAAACATGACGCCGCACGGTCCTCATGGTTGAAGGTCCATCCATTTCACTCCTGGGAGAGGATCCCTGTGCTCTCAGCCCTGGCCACCATCACCACCAGCATCCCTGGGGACCAGAAGGCCATGTAGGGCCCTCTCACACCCCTCTTGGCATGCCGTTATCCTTGCTTTCTGTTTACTTTTATTTCCATCTTAGTCACCAGAGCCACAACTAGTGGAGCATTTTGCTAGGGCCGAGTAGCAGCTTGCTTGTAAGTCTGCCCATGTCCATCACTTCCATGCTTCCTGGCCCAGAATCACCCTCCGCGAGGCAGGCAGAATGGTGTACTGGAAACACAGCCGTGACCACACCACACCAGCACATGTGCATATGTGCACGTGTCCCGAACCAGCGGGTCAGTCAACGAAGGTCACCTGGGGGAGGAGCGGGGAATTGAAGAGGGAACAAAGGACAGGAGACGCGAGAAATGGAGGCAAGACAAAGATTCTGATCAAGCCTCATTTATTTAGGAGAGGTGCTGGGCATATATAGGGGAGGCATAGGGAAATGACATCAGCGGGTAAAAGGTGCGAGTAACTAGGCAACCAGGCTATGACAGGAAGTCCCACCTCCAGTCTCCGGCATAGCAGGAGACTTATGGGAAATAGGCGGGGTGAGAAGGACCATAAACTTAACTCAGCAGGGGAATAGAATGGATACCGGTTAATGGCCTCCAACATGCATGCGTGCGTGTACATCCACATCAAGCATGTTGGTTGCCCTCATTAACAAGCAGGACCCTCGATATGGCCTGCAAGGGCGAAGGCTGAGCTCATGTGGTATCTCACCTCACGCTCTTGGCATTCCAGAGGCGTGTTTTCTTTCTGTGTCTGTCACAGGGCCCCTCTGCCTGGAGCAGCATTTTATGCCTTCTTGCTTCACCAAGGCCTGCTCTTTCTTGAGGCCTCAGCCTGTGCTTTACTCTTATAGAGAGTCCTCCCTCCCCGCCCTGAGGTCCTGTCTCCTCCCACATGCACCTAGCACCAGGCTCCTTCCTTTCGGACCTGTCACAGTTGTTATTTTATTAAGTGCCTGTTTCACTCATCAGACCAAAGGCTTTTGATGGATTAAAAATACATAATTTCTCTGTTATGGTTCAGATCTGAGATGTCCCCCCCAAAGCATCGCATGCTGAGAGCTGGGCCTTCAGGGGCCATGGACTCATCAGTGGACTAATCTGTGAATGGGTTTGAAGCTAAGCATGGCGTAAGGAGCTGGGATTTTGTCAGGGTGATTCCGTGGGTCATGGCCTTGGAAGGCGTACTCTTGGCCCTGGCTGCTGCTCCTCACTCTGCTTAGGGGTCAAGCTGCTTCCTTTGCCCAGGCCTTCCTACCATGTTTTCGCCTTCGAGCCAGCTGATGTGGACTGAAACCATTAGTCAAAATAAACCTTTCCTACTTTAGGCTGTAGGAGTCAGGTAGTTTGTTCCAGCAATAGGCAAGTGACTGATTCACCTTCAATGCAGTAAATATATATATATATATATAGTGAAAAATAAATATGCTGCTGGAATGTTTTTAGTTAGAGTCAAAGGCAGAAACACTTAGTTTTTATTACAACCATAAACATGTGAAACTTGCTTATAGGGCAATCATCAAAAGAGTGACATGCCTGCAGCACTGGTGGCATGGTTCTGGGTCTTCTTTAGCCTAATGGTTTGGTTCTCCACATGAGCTTTCGGGCTCCTGGCCTGACCCCCATCTTGATGCAATGGTGCAAGAACTTACAACACTGAAATATTAGTCTGAAACATTGTCATTCAGTGTTTGGCTATATACACAAATAATGAACTGGCAAGTTTCAAATTAGATCCTTGGAATACAGCAAAATAGTTCTCTTTTGCTTTATACAATTATTCAAAGTACAATAAACAGTTTTTAAAAACCATGATACAAAAATTCTGAACCAAGGATTTATAGATGAGGAAAGTGCCATCTTAACTCTTAAAGGATTATATTAATTATTGATTGTGACCTAACAGATTGTGCTAAATTTAGCACCTGCGAACAGCAAGGACTTCTTATTGCCCAGCCTGTGCCTAGAGGTTGGGGTGGGCTCAGCCGCTCACTCTGGCCAGGGGCCCCATCCCGCCGCAGTCTGGCTGCTAGTTGGGCTGGAAGATCATCAGTCGCTTGGCTGCTAGAGGGAGGGGCCACATCCGTGCCCCGCCATGTGGGTGTTGGTGCTCACTGGCCAGAGGGGGCCTCAGAGTTAGCTGCCATGTGGGCCTCAGGGCTACCAATGACAGGATAGGTGACCTCCTCCATTGTGTAACCTCATGAAAGTGCCATCCGGTCAGCCGCTGTGGCATCCTGTGCAGGCGAGATGTGTGAGGTCCAGCCCTCACTCACAGTTAGGTTGCTGCAGGGCAGTATGAGTAGCACACAGGGTGTCAGCAGGCCCATCTCAGAGACAGCGGCCACAGTGTTTTCCAGCGGGTAGGAGGCAGATGAGGTAAGGATGTGTACATTCCGTAGCACAGGTAGGGCTTGTCAGATAGCTGCAAGGGTTTGCAGTATTGGGTGTGTTGTACAAGTCCCTCAGACCTTTGGGAAAATGCTTCCTTTTTATATTAATTTTATTGAGAAAGAAGTAGCAATGAGACAGTTTCAAAACAGGTTAGGACAGTTACAATAATTAATACATTGCATATTGTTGTCTTCATAGTAGTTGTTCATAGTACAGGATGCAGACGTGATATCTTGTCTATACACTGTTAGTTCAAAGCTTTCTTCTCATTAGGAAAAATGCTTCCTGAAGGTCACTGCTTTTGAGATGGGCCTGGAACGAGTAGATCTCAGGGCAGAGAGGGACCGGGTTGGACTCCTCTTGTATCCAGGTCCCATGAACTTGGTGGTCTGCTGTAGCCCCGTGGAGGAGCTGCAGCTGGATGTTGTGCAGGGGAAGCATGTTAGCGGCAGCAGATGTGAGCTAGAAGTGCAGAGCTTAGCAGTGAGCACACAGGCTGCGCTCGGGACCTCCCTGCACAGGGCAGGCTGCGCGCTGGAGGGGTGCCGCGGGACACACGGGCTGGGCTGGTGAGCACTGTGAAGAAGCTCTAAGGGTGTTCAACTTCCTGTCCTGAAAGTGCCTTTTACCCTTGCTTTTGGGTGATAGTTTAGCTGGGTGAAGAATTTTTCTCAGCAACTTGAAAATGGTATCTTATCTCCTTTTGGAATTTAGTTCTGTTGAGAATTATCCCTTCAGCTAACTGTTTGTACTTTCACAGTAATCCTTTTGTCTCTGGGCATTTTTTAAGTTTTCATTTGTTTAATTTTAAGTGCATATTTTATTAGTGCCTTTTAATTTTGCAAAACATTATGTTTCAATGTGTTTATTTTGATCATATTGATCCTCGTGGGTGCTCCATTCACATCCCTTATTTCCTTCCTCCTGTCTAATAATAATCTCCCTTTATGAGATAGTGTCAGAATTTCTGAATCTGATTTATTTTACTTAACATAATCATCCCCAGTTCCATCCACTTTCCTATTATATATAGCTATACATAATATGATATATATATATATATATATATATATATATATTATATGGAGAGAGAGAGAGAGAGAGAGAGAGAGAGAGAGAGAGAAAGGCACATGAGAAAACCATGGTGGCCTTGAATATGGAGAGAGGGGCCACCACCCCGCTGTGGAGGTGCCTGGAGAAATGGGGAGAAGCAAGGAACCGGGGTCTCCGAGGCCTCTGCACAGCAGTGCAGCCCTGCTACACACACTCCCGTCTCCTTTTCTCCTTAGATGCTGCCTCCCGCTTCTCTGTCACCTCAGAAGAGAACCTTGAGCACCTGCTTTAGACCGTCCTGTCGCACTAGTGTTTGCCCCCCTCATTCACATTTGCCGTCTAGTTCTGTGTTCTTGATTCATGGCAGTTGCTTTCTCTCTTTCACTTTATCTGTTCTCCCTTCAGCTCCACTTAATCTGCACGTGCTTTGTTTTTCCTTATAAGAAGTTTTCCCAGGCTGGGGAGATAGCTTAGCAGGCCTGACAAGCACATGGATCTAGGTTTGATCCCCAGTACCGCATGCCCAGGTGCACTGTGCCAGCCCTGAAGTCCGGTGTGGTGGCGCACGCCTGTAATCTCAGCGCTGAGGAGACCGAGACAGGAGGATCACTACTAGCCTGAGCTGTGTCGCGAGACCCTGTACCAAATAAACAAACAAATAAATGATTTTAAAGCTTTCCCATTAAATCTCCTTTTCCCTACTCTTCTACCTTTCTACTGTTCTTTCTTCATCTTATATCTCCTTTCCTTGGTTTTTTGAAATATTTTTATGTTGCAATCTCCTTAAGACCAGTAGCACTTGCGGTTCTTATATAATCCTCCTGTGTGCTGAGGCTGCTGACTTGGATTTCTTCAAGTGTTTTGTAATTTTTCATTGTGAGCTCCCTTTCGACGGGAATTTATGTCCCTGTGTAATTCTCATGCTGTCTCAGGTGCAGTTTTTCTCCAGAGTACCTTTCTGTTCATCTCCGTGAGATCCCTCCGGGCATCCCTAACCCGTGTCCAATTTCCATGTTAATTTTTTAGCGTGGAGATTTCTCTTGTCACATTGCAGTGGGACTCTGAAGTTCAAGTCCAGGTACAGTGCAGGTTTGGAATTTTAGATTCTCGCAGGAGACTTTTTTCCTCCCACAGAGATGAATCCCTTGTGCAGCTTGTCCTGTGGCAGGAGGGCAGGTGAGTGGGGTTGCGGCCCAGACTTCCCTTAGAGCAGCCGAGCTGTACTGCTGTGGGTCAGCCCGAAGGCTCCGGCTCCCGAGCGGAGCTGTGCAGGCCGGACGAGCTGAGGAGCATGGTGAGAAGGACTTAGCAGATGGCAAGGCTGCCGGGCTTGGCTAGCCATGGCCTGGATCCTGGGGTTCTGGGTATGCCGCAGCCAGCAGGTGTGTGCCGGGGGAAGCAGCTTCAGACCCTGGCTGCGTCAGACCCTCCCCAGGCTAGGAGGGCAGAAGCGTCTGCTTGGCCCTGTTCACTGCACACCTTATACCCCGGTGCTCCTGCAGTGAGACTGCCGCTGCGTGGAGAACTTCAGACCAAAGGGCCACGAGCTCTGAGAGGCAGCCTTGCTTGTCTTGAAGGCTTCTAGGTGTGAGAGAGCAACCCGCCTTCTGAGCAGAGGACACAGGCTGGGAGAGAGTTACTGTATAATGGAACAAGCAATTATTGAGTATTCACTATATACCAGGTACTGTGTTAGTCTCCAAGAATACAGTAGGCAGTGAAAGAAGCATTCTCCTTGTCATTATTAAAATGACAGCCTAGCAGGGGCAGGCGGATAAAATGTCCTCTTCAGTAGCACAAAGAGGAGTAAAAAGCATCCATGGCATCTGCCAGGAGTGTGCGCTAGAGGTGGACACAACTTTCTCTTTCCTTTCCTTCGATTATTTATTCCAAAGTTTTTGAAAGTGCGTGCTGTGATCCCCCAACCCAAGCTTGATCTGACCGGTTGTCTCAGGTCCTAGGACCAGGAAGGAGAAGGGTCAGACTGTGGGCCAGGGCTTCTAACACCAGTCAGACTTGGGACCCTCGTCCAGCTCTGACATCAAAGCCCCTCCCCACATGCCGCCACCACAAGCCACGCGAGGGTCCAGGCTGAATGGAGAGTGAGCAGGAGTAGAAGAGAGCTGAGCTGCCTAGAGAGGACGAGTGTGCCTCACGTGGCCCACACCCAGGACTGTTCCCACAACATGAAAAGGGCTCAGGAGGCAATGGAGAGGGTTTGCAGAGATGGACAGGGAGTGGCTGACGCCAGTCAGCTTCTGGATCTGACTCAGGGACCAGCAGGCCGGCTGTGGTTTCCGTACGCGTTTCTGGCTTTGATCTGGGTGTGTGCTTGGGTCTGGAGCAGGCTCCTGGCCCAGCAGAAGGAGATCTGCCCGCCTCGCCCCTCTGGGGCCAGGCCCCTGGCTGGCCTACTGACGGGCGCTGATATCCCTGTTCCCCTCTCTGCCCGCAGATCATGAAGGAGCTCCGGCGAGCACTGTGCAATGCGGCCACAGACGACAGCAAGCTGCTGCTGCTCAGCGCCGTGGGGAGCGTGTTCTGCAGTGGCCTGGACTACTCCTACCTGATTGGCCGCTTGTCCAGTGACCGGCGAAAGGAGAGCACTCGGATTGCGGAAGCCATCAGGTGAGCCTGCTCCTTCCTGCCCGGCACCCTGGGCTCCTGCGCAGGAGCGCTAAGTTCAGCAAATAAAAAACACAGGCTGCTCAGTGACTGAAGCGTCAAATGACAAAGTAATTTTACTTTTAGCGTAAGTGTGTCCCATGCGATATTTGGGACATACTTATATTTAAAGATTATTGGCTGTTTATTTAAAATTAAAAATTTAAATCTAGCAATTTGTATCTTATCTGCAACCCCGATCCCTCCCGAGTGAGGACTGCTTTGCTGTCCGGGTCGGGTCTCACTTTCATTCTTCAATCAAAAGTGGTTTTCTTTTCCTGCAAAGGGCTGGGTCTGGTCATGGCATGTGTGACAACTGTTCTCCTGCCTCTGCTTGAAGGTGGAGGTGCCTGGGGGTTCTGACAGTGCTGTCCCGGGCGTCTTCTGACTCAACAGCGGTGGTGACAGGAGAAACTATCAGTTTGCAGACCCCACTGGGCAGGAGTAATTGCCCCTCTTCCTGCCTTTGAGGCAGAAATGGGGGTCCGAAGGTGATGTCCAGCGCCAAGAGTCAGTATTCCTTTTGGGACACACAGTAAAGTACATCAGGGTGATTTTCATCCAGGGCCATTCAGCTGGTTGACAGCTGTCACTCTGTCCACCTTAAGAAGGCTGAATACACTCACTGCTGTACTTTGCTTCGCAAGAAGGACAGGAGTCCCAGTTCAGCTCCTCCCTGGGCCCAGGAGGAGAGGCGCTTACTCCCTAGTGTCAAGAGTCCAGGCTGCATGTCTGGATTTTCTGGGGCTGCACCACGCAGGCCGATTTCTACGTGGCTAAGAGGTTGTGTGGATGTCCAAGGGGTCATGTTAGGACACTCATGTGTGGGTTTCTAGACCCTCTTCCGAGAGAGCCAAGATGCTTTTTGGAGACGAGGAGGAGCCTGGCTGCCTTCCCGGGAAGGGACCCGTGGTAATGCTGACCCCATGCGCGGCCCAGTCCCTGGAGGTTTGCTCCCTGCTTGGTCTCTGCTGCATTTTCTCTGGCTTCTCAGGAGTCAAGAAGAGCAACAGATCCCAGTATGCTCCTCATTTACTAGGCCATTTGAACCCAAACTACGGAACTGAGTACCCATCTCTGAGCCATAGGAAACCCTGCTTATCTCGTTTATATGTTTCTGGTCTTTATCTGGCTTTCCAGAACCCAGGAAAACCAGTCTGGCCTAATCCCTGGCTTCAATTCCTCACTCACACAGCTCATTAGCATGAAAGCTTCCATAGCATCCTAATCTTTGGAACCCATAAATGTGACCCTATTTGGAGAAAGGATCGCTACAGATGGAGTTAAGTTTAAAATTCCAAGATGAGACCATCCTGGATTAGAGGGGGCTCCAGACGGAAGGGGAGCGGCCCTCACTGGAGAGCAGACACAGTCGCAAGAAGGTGGTGTGATGTGTAGACAGGAACTGCAGGGGGCAGCTACCTGCTGGGAGGTACAGGGGGGCTGCTACCAGCAGGAGCTGAGGAGAGCCTAGGGCTCTCCCCAGAGCCTCCAGTCCCCTGTGGGTCCCCCAAGGCACCAGCTCCCCATACCTGGACTTTGGGCTCCTGCCCTCCAGACTGGTGGAAGAATGAGCTTCTGGTGTTTTCAGCCACGCCGTGTTCAGCGTGGCCACAGCCCCAGAAGTGTTAGCGCCTCAGGAAGCCCCCTTGTCCTGGCCTCCCCTCTCAGGCAGGGTCCATCCTGACTTCTGTCCTGGAGCCTGAAGGGGCTGCTGCTGCTGGGCAGTGCTGGGGTCTGCCTGGTGGGGTCTGTTAACACCAGGGGCCTGGAACCTGAGCCTCCAGCTCCTGCTTCTTTCCTGCAGCTTTTCTCATCCTGCGAGGGCCTCAGTGACCCCCAGGCCTGTCCCTGTGTCTGCATCTGAGATCTGTCACAGCGGAGGGGTGTGACCTTTTCTTCACCCCTGGTAGCTTCTCCCTCTTGGGGTCATGAGGGCCACAGTCTTGGGAGCCTGGTCTGGGAGGAAGAAGTGTTAGAGGCATTCAGGGAGGAAAAGGTGAACTCTGTGAGCTAGAACCTCAGACGCGCACAGCTTCTGACTTTGCCACTGAGTAAGCCAGGAAACCTGAACGCAGGGCCCGTGTGTGAGGCCCTGCTGAAGGCTCATCCCTACCTCTGGGGAGATCCAGCCAGGGGGAGTCAGGCCATTGCCACCTTGGCAAGCAGGTGCACTTCGGGCAGGGCAGAGGGCGTGAAGGCAGAGAGCCACCTTCCCCAGGTTGCAAGGAGAGCAGAAATCGCTAATTTATGGGCTGGCAGTGACACGGGAGTGAGAAAGGGGATGTCCCCAGGGCCACTGCTGCCAGCTCCAATAGCACTGACAGGCCTGAGGGAGGCAGCACCCCTGGGAGGTTCGTCTGGGATGGGGCTGCACATCTGCTCTTGCGAAATTCCCTCGTGGTTCTGAGGTGCAGCCAGGGCGCAGAGCACCTGCCCGGTGTCAGCTAGGAGTGTGTGCCGGTGGGGTGCGCGTGCAGCAAGAGGGACAGAGAGACTGCTGTTTGTGGTGGTTAGAATAAGAAGCGGAGAGGAGGAGTGAGAGACAGCAGGGTGAGGGCAGGGTAGACAGAGGGGCCCCAGAGCAGAGGGGAAGGACGCTGTGAAGGTGTCTCCAGCGCCCCCAGATCGCAAATGTCTCCTTGGAGCCTGCTCGTTCATGTGGGGGATGGGACGCCATAGTCCTGCACTTGGCAGAGAATGTTTTATGAGTTTCAGAGATGATTCATTCAGCAGAAGCTGAAGACTGCTCTCACCTAACCCTGGCATAGGTGACCTGGTGCTTCTTACGTGCTGTTGGTAGGGAGGTGCTGTCTTGTGGCCTCTGGAAGCAACATGCCTGAGCTCAGACCCACCTCAGCTGCTGCTGGTGCAGTCTGGGGCACATCGCTCGTCTCACCGAGCCTGTGGGCTCATCCAGAAAATGGGATCCATAGAAGGGGCAGTCCCGGCCCCACTGGTGAGCTGCTAGCATCAGGAGCAATGATAATCCCTCTTGGGCTACTCCTGGCTGACACTAAGCCTCACGGTAGGTGTCGCTTCCAGCCACGAAATCTTCCAGCCAAGCTGAGTCTGAAGTTGGTTTAGGCCCCTGGAGACTTTTGGGGTGCCTGGGAAGGCAGCCTGTGTGTATTTATTTGGGTTCTCAGGCCTTGGTCTGGCTGACTTGGCTTGTAGCCTTGGCAAGGAGAGGTTGCCCTCTGTGGCTGGGCTTAAAGGGAGTAGGGAACTGGGTCGCAGTAGAAACGCCAAGTGAATGTGGCCGTGCCCATGAGCAGTCCTGCTTCTGCAGGGAGAACCTGACAGGACCACATGGGAAGTTAGAGGGAAGCGCCGCGGGCCCTCCTCCCTGGCCCCGCCTGCCCTATGCAGCAGCACCCCGTCGTGCATTCCTTGGGTGCCAGGCTCTGTGCTGTGGGCCTGCATGGACCGTTTTTCTTGGTTGTCGTCTAGCCCCATGGAAGGCCATCATTGGCATTTCTGAATCAGGAGGAGGAAGACGAGGCAGCTTGTCCCAGTCTGGCCACTAAAGCGAGGCACACCTGAGACTTGGCCTCAAGTCTCTCCAACTCCGACATTCCTGTTCTGGGCCACGTCAGAGCAGCCAAGCAGAGTGTCTGGGCAGAAGCCTGGGGTGAGGGAGAGGAAGCTCGAAAGGCCAGGAGCAACCTAATGGCTGTGGACACCAGGGAACACAGCACCAGTCTCCCCCGAGCTCGCTCTGCTGTCAGATCAGATATCTGAGCTGAGGGTCTGTAATGCAATATCCTGTTTGCTGTTGGGCTCCTGCATCCATCCCTGGGGCCTTGCGATAGCGATCTGCCCCCTGAGGTGAGAGGAGAAGCACGGGAGGGTGGTCGTGGCCTCACATTTTGATATGAAGGCAGAGAAAGGCAGGTTGGAATGAACAGGAGGGGCTGGGAGGGGGTTGAAGTTCGGCGTGCTGGGCTTTGTCTCTCTCCTTGGTGTCCGTGCTGCCCTTGCACAGAGCTCAGGTTGGAAGCCACAGAGCGGGACCCTGGAGGACCCTGATATGCAAGGTTCTGGAAGGGCTGAAGGCTGCAGCGATTCCTGGAGGGCTGGCGGTGTCGGCCAGCGAGCGCATGGGGGCGCACAGGAGACCCTGAGCAGACCGGCTGCCTGGGCAGTCATGGAGCCTCTGATACTGTTCTGTCCCGAGGATGATGCATCCTCAGGAGACTGTGGGGGGAGTTCAGCAGCCAGAGGAAGATGCGGCTCGATGAGTCTTAAAGGCCTTCCTAAGGCTGAGCTCCATGATTCTGGAATTGTATAAAGATTTACTGGGAATGCAACGTCTGATGAAAATCCCGAAACAGTGGGCTTCCAGGGAGCCTGCACAGAAGCCCTGTATCCCCACAGACTCCCAGTTGCACTGATGCCGAACAAGCTGGTGACCCAGCCTAAAATCTAGTCGTGAGGTTAGGAGTTGGAGCAAAAAGGCAGCCAGGGCCTTGGAGGGTCAGCTGCGTAGGGGCCAGCAGGGGCCACGCACACTGCGTCATCTCAGACAGAGTCACGGCGCAAGCTTGAGTGAGTGCTGTGTACTTTTATGAAGACCCCCCGTGGTTATAAGGAAGCCTCCTCTCAGTTCCTTGATGCCAGTATATAACTATGAGAGCCACATTTTTACGAGATGGAGGAGGAGCAGTATCAGTGGGGGATGGGTAAGTTGGCATGATGTTCGTATTATTAGCTGCTATAACAGATAAGCCCCAAATGTATATAATGACTCAACTGTGATAGAATTTTACTGCACATATTTGTAAACCTAAAACAGATGCTACCTGTCATCCCTCTGGGTGGTGATGAGGCTATCCAGACCCTTCCATCCAGGGGCACCATCAGTGTCCTCCCAGACCACCATGCCCATCTGGGTGCCTGGTCTTGGAAGATGGCGTATTAGGAGGGTGTGTGTGCCCGGAAGTGGCACAGATGGTTTCCAGGAGCATGCTGTTGGGCAGAACTTGGTGACTTGTCCACACGGCTGTAATGGAGACTGGGAGATGTGGCCTGGTATAGACTCAAACAGAAGACAGAAGGGAGTGGGGTTTGGGGAAGAGCTGGCTCCTCCTATACCTTCCCCCAGATCCTCGGTGTGGCACTGGTAAGCTCCGCTTTACCCTATTACAGACTCCTTCTCTGGGGTGCATGCATTTGGGGCCCATTCTGGGTTTAAGATATGACTTCCTATGGACAGCAAGCCTGGACTCCTGTCAGTGAACAGGGTCCATCTCAGCTTGGGGCTGAGCCAGGTTGGTTCAGGGCCTGGGAGACTCTTGTGGTCTTTCAAGGGCTGTTCACTGAGCGCTGATTCCGGTAGTGATAGAAACTGAGCGATGCCCCAGCCAACCTGTGATTATTTATACGGAGTGAAAGGGAAGGACCCAAGAGTAGGCAAGGTATTAGCAGGCATTGGGCTAGTGGTGCTTCCTAAAGCTCTTGAGACCTGTGGGCGCATCACAGTGAGCAGGGCAATGCCAGGAAGGTCCGGAGAACTAGCCAAGGCAGACTGTGGCCACCTGATTTTATCCTCATGAGTTCTTGGTAGCCTTCCATCCTCCATCTGAGGGCAGCGAAGGATGCTGACTGTACTAGGCATTTGAGTCTTTCCTCTACAAGCAGATGAATATTAAAAATTTATAGATCTCATATAGCAACTAGGGGAAAGGCAGAAAGCCTTCCGAGGTAGGGGAAACAGAGGTTGTTGCTGGTACTGTGCTGTACAGGGAAAGATTCGTGTCGTAACCTTCCCAGTGCAGCGGGGCAGGAGAGGCCACGTTGCTCCATGCTGTAGTCCTGATTCTACATGCACAGTGCTGCAGAGGCCCTGTGTTCTTCCTCAGTCTTAATCAAGGTCATCCCAACACAGAGCCCCTCGTCAGCATTGGGAGGCCACCCTTGGTGACGCCGATGTCCCTGGAATGAGGCCATCTGAGCACTGAAACAAATCCTGTTAGGTCACCAGCCCCCACCTCCATCACCTGCAGCTTGCATTTCCTCTTTACCATCACTGGAAGTGAGCACTGACCCAGAAGTGGAATTCCTCTAAAAATGGGGCTCTGATACCCCTGAGGCCACTGTAACCTGCCTTGGGCCAGGGATGCTGGAACATTCTCTCCCTCAGTTGGAATTTGTCTCTCCAGAACACCCAGAGCTTTTTCTTGCTATTTCTGGTCAAGGACTGTGACATTTCACTAGTCATCCTTCCACACAGACAACTCTGTCAGTATCTAGAGTGTCCACATAATTGACTTTCCAGCTCATGGCTGTTAACAGTGGAAGCAAAGCAGTAGGAGGCATGCTGGGCCAGCACACATGAGCCGGGCCCTGTAGCCACTGTCAGTCTCCTCTGAAGAGGTGGCAGTCTGGTGACTCTGTCTGGGAGTGAAGCCCCCAGTTGTCCCTGGCTCGTTTGTAACTACTAGAACATACATCATAGCACCTGGGAGAATCAGGGGGACTTAGCAAGTTGAAGTCATGTTAAAGGGTCTTCTCTCTCCTCCAGGGACTTCGTGAAGGCTTTCATCCAGTTTAAGAAGCCCATTGTGGTGGCCATCAATGGGCCAGCCCTAGGCCTGGGCGCTTCCATTCTGCCCCTCTGTGACATCGTGTGGGCCAGTGAGAAGGCCTGGTTCCAGACACCCTATGCCACCATCCGCCTCACCCCGGCCGGCTGCTCCTCCTATACCTTCCCCCAGATCCTCGGTGTGGCACTGGTAAGCCCCGCTTTACCCTATTACAGACTCCTTCTCTGGGGTGCATGCATTTGGGGCCCATTCTGGGTTTAGGATATGGCTTCCTATGGACAACAAGCCTGGACTCCTGTCAGTGAGCAGGGTCCATCTCAGCTTGGGGCTGAGCCAGGTTGGTTCAGGGCCTCTAAACTGGGTGGAATAGCCAAGCCTGGGAAGACAGCGATGTTCACCTATTGGACACCCAGTGCATGCCAGGCACTGCAGACATCATCCAGGCATTCCTTCCCATGTCCAGGAAGGCTGAGGCCTGGGGTGAGCCGTGTGTCTGACCAGCACCCTGCAATCTCAGGAGTCTGCACATTTGCTTTCGCTCATGCTGACCAGGTGTCTTCCATCTGGCACCTCTACCTTTCCTTCCAGCTGAGGGGGAGAAGAGACCTGTGCACCCACAGGTCCACCCGAAAGGTCTCTGTGAGCCAGGCCTTTGGGGCACCTTCATTGCACTCCAGCATCATTGGCTGCAGTTCTGTTACGTGGCCACACCCACCTGCAGGGGAGGCTGGGAATGTAGTCCAGACACGTGTAATCTCACCCATATGGAACCCTTTGAGATCTCCATCTTAAAGGTAGCGAGCTAAAGTCAGAGGAGTTAAGAAATTGCCAGCACCAGGTCAGCTAGCAGGCAGAGCTGGTGCCCGAGGGAGCTGCAGTCAGTCTGCGCCACAGCAGCTGTGGGCAGCGGGCCTAGTGCTGGCAGCACATGTGGAAGGCACCCACTGTGTGCCAGGGCAGGGCATAGCCTGGCAAGGAGGACAGTTGTTATGTTATTCCTGCTGGACAGATGCAGAGACGGAGGCTCAGGAGGGCTGAGGGGCTGTTGAAGTCACAAGGTGGAATGGCAGTGGGAGACACCACGTGTCTGGCTCCTCAGTCCACGCTTTACCCGGCCTGGCTTGTAGCTGACCCCATCTCTGAGGAGCTAGCTGGAGATCAGCGCGGTCAGGGAAGGAAGGGTTTGGAAAATGAAGCTTCCTGAGGAGTAGGTGCCACCCTGGCACCCTGACATGAGCCTCAGGTCTTCCCTCAGGGGCCCAGACCAGCTCCTGCTGACACTGGCCATGGACTGACCTCAGCTCAGATGGGTGAGTGCTCACTCCAGGGCCTCAGGAGGTCCCCTGCCCGCCACCAGGCTTCTCCAGCCCCGCCCTCCAGTCCTTGCTGAGAACCACTAAGGTACCTGAGGTGCCCATGCTCCATGCTCACCCAGGGTACGGGGAGACTGGTCCCACTCTGAGTCTGTGGCCAGCTCACCGTCCTCTGCGCTCTTCCAAGGAGCAGCCTAACCACGGGACTGAGCATCTGTGGGTTACTCAGGCCTTGAGGTGGGAGAAGGTGGAGCTGGTGGGGAGAGAGCTGAGAGCAGACGGCAGAGAGGGGCAGGCTAGGCTGGCCTTGAGCACTGCACAGCAGAAGGCCATGGGGCTGCAGTGCCTGTCACTAGGGTCATGGAAGACCTACAGACTGCCCTTAAGCACCGTCCCATCCAGAGGACCAACCTCTGCCCTGAGAACCACCCCCCCCCCACCGTCCTGGAAAGCAGCTCCCCCTGCTCCATTGTCCCACACGCCTTGGGGAGCTGTTCTTGTTGGGAATGGACTCTGGGATGGTCCTGTAACTTCCCCGTACCATTGGAAGGTGCAGACCACCTTTGCCTGAGCTCTGGCCCAAGTATTTGAGAGCACAGTCTCAGCTCTGTGCTCCCTTGTGTGTAGCCGGAGCTTGGGAATCGCTATGGCGAGGGGAGGACAGGGGTTTTACACTTTTCATTTCTTTCTTTGCCCCCTTTGCATTTCCATCTATCATTGATTGTTTTTCTCCAGTGTGGGGTGGTGGGCTTCCTTTACCACCTCCTGTCTTAGTCACATTCCCATGGCTGAGACAAAATATCCAATGCATGCAACTTGAAGGAAGAGAGGTTTATTTTGGTCCATGCTTCAGCCTGGGATCAGCTGGTTCTGACATTGAAATTCAGTGGTGGAGGAACATGGTGGAGGCAAAGGTGCTTAACTTACCGTGGCTAGGAAGCCAGAAGAGAAAGGCAGGGGGAGTGTCCCAGGGAGGAGGTTGTACCTACAGCCCACCCACAAGTGGCCCACCCACCTCCACCCAGACCCACACCCTAACAGCACGTTCAGCTGTCGGCTGATCACTGATGACTGCAGATAATTGAGTCGCCCTGCAGTCCACCCCCTTCCCCACACGTGTGCTCCGTGAGGAACATTTCAGATCTAAGCCATGAGCTTTGTTCCCCACGGTGAGAGGGACTGGCAGGCATCATCCCTTGCGCCTCCTTACTGTTGTTCCTGTGCCTTGGAAACCTGATGCCCCTGACCACAGTAACGGCAGCTCTAGCCATGGCTGACCATCCCTGTGTCCTGCCCCATTGTAAGTACGCCCTCCGTCCATCCCACCTCCACTGGGGGCTCAGTGCTCTCCTTAGGCCTCTCCAGTGGAGGAAATCTCCCCTTTTGTAGAAAGTGGAAGCTTTATGCAGTTAAGTGACCTGCCCAGAGTCGCGCGTTAGTGGGCTGCTCTGTTTCGTTGTTTTCTTCACCCTAGAGTAGGGTGTTCGTTTTATCAGTCTTCACAAGGTGCACCCTGCCCTCACCTGGCCACCCAAGAGGCCTGTTCTGGGGTGTCTAAATGACACTCCAAGTTCTCCACTGTGGAAGGACAGCGTAGGAGAGGGGCTGCCATGGGCCCTGAGGCCTTGCCTGTGTCTCACACCTCCCTCCCAGGGGCTCAGGGTGGACCTGAGTCCAGATTGTCATCCAGGGAACAGATGTGGCTCTTCCCAGTGAGCCTCACAGCTTCCCCTGAGGGTGCGGAGATGTTCAGTCTCAGAGGCGGAGGCCCAGAAACGCCTGACACGAATTATTAAAAGTGTATGGTGTAATCTCTGCCCCCTCCCCTACTTCCCTGTCTCGGAATGCTGATGACAAAGCGGCGCTCTTCCTGCTGGGCTTCTGCGAGGCTCCATCCAGCAGTCCCAGCCTGAGGAGTTACTCCACAAGTGTCCTGACATGGTCTGGTCTTCAGCCCTCCACTCACACACAGGCTAGAGACAATCAGCCTAATGCTTTTCTCCACTCTGGATGGAAAGACTTGTCTCCTGGGTCATTGTGACCATATGTGACAGCCAGCACAAAGGGGCGGGCATAGGACATAGAGGACAAGACTGTATCTGCACACGGGCCCACGAGCACCCTGCATGCGGGGCAGGGAGAAGCCGGGGGAGGCGCCCCAGCAGAGGCAGTGCTGCTGCCGGGGAAGAATGGGGTTCATTCCACAGGGGATATGGACCTGGTCGCAGCAGGGACCTGAGAGCCACCGTAGCTTCCGCTACTGCCGCCGCTAGCTGTGCCTAGGCCCATTCCATGGTTCCCCCACACTCCCCACGATGGTGTATCCTAGTCAGCTCTTTGCCAGTGTATAGAAACACTGGAGGGAAGGTGCATCTGGGCTCACGCCTGTGGAGGCTCCAGCCCACGCTCAACAGGCCCTATTGCTCCTTGGCCTGCAGCAAGGCAGCACCTTGTAGTGGCCAGGAAGTGAAAGACAGGGCAGGGAGAGGGTGCACAGACCGTGGCTCCATAACCCCCTTTGAGGTCTGAACCCCAGGGCCTTGACAGCCCTCCTTGGGTACCCACTAGGTACCAAGCTTTAAGCACACAGACCTGTAGGGGGCACTTAGGTGCACACTGTGGTGCCCTGTGTGAGGGCTGTGAGCTGTCAGCATAGCGTCTGAGGGGCCTGAGGGGCTGCTTTCTGCCCTTCAGGGCCGTGTGCAGCGCTCCTTTCTGTATGTACATGGCCGATGGTGGAAACTTTAACTGGATGGTTCATTCATTCATTATGTTTTGGACCTGGGGACTGAACCAGAGCCTTCATGCTGAGCTCCATCCCTAGTTTTTTTTATTTATTTAATTTTATTTTTAACAATTTTATTGAGAAACATATCAATGAGACAGTTTCAAAACCGATTACGGGCACATTTTCAATAATTGATGCATTGTATATTGTCTTAGTGGTTATTCATTGTACAAAATGCAGACATGATATCCTGTCTCAAACATTATTATAACAAAACTCTCTATTCATTGAATTAAGAAAATGGAGTTGTATATCTGTCCTATTTTGAGTATACATATACAAAAGGGTTATTCATTTCCATCCCACTTTTTTGGTTAGTTTTGGCAGAGAAGGGCCTTCCATTGTCATGTAAATATCGTAGGTGCTTGAATTCAGCAGAATCTCCCAATGTTGTCCAGTAGTCCATAATAGTAGTGGGTTTTCTGTAAGACTGGCGATGTCCAAAGTTGTTGACTTGAGCTTTTTACAGCTCCATGTATTAATGTGGCTTTACTTTTTATACTTCGTTTTCATATTTTTCTGCTGGATGGCTGAGACCGAGATAAAGCAAGACCTATATAACAAGAAATGTAACTTTTGTATCTGACAAGGTCAGTCAAATCCCCTCAGGATTTATCCTGTAACCCTGTAACCCTGTAGATCCTTTGTCATTGTCAGCCATGTGAATGAGTCACTACCATTGCTTGACCAATTTGCTCTCTGTGAAAGCCTGAGAGAATGTTTTCTCTCCATGTGACTCTCCTTAGGCACATTCTACATCATCAATCACATTCCTCTGTGGCCCCATAATCTCTTTGATCAGAAAATTTGGGACACAACTGAGTTACATAATGTTACAGTATAGGTTCTCCTATGTCCTGAGTCCTCACTGACCTTGCAAGGCCTTGCAGCCCTTCTTTTTCTCTGATTTTTGGTCTGCAAACTTAAGTTTTTAACTCTCCAGAGGAAAAGCTTAATATTACCCTACAACATAAGCAGTTGAGCTTAACCTCACTATCTGTCTGAATATCAGGCATCTTAGGCATAACATGAAAGAGGTATTTTCCATCAAGTATTGATATGTTAAACTTTAAGTCCCTGCAGAATATGAAAATTACAAAAATTTAAAAAATAAAAATTTGAAAAAATATGAATAAACAATTACATAATTTTACACAGAAATTAAGAAATCTAACCATAGACAGCGTTGTAGTGGGACTGTCCTGTGGCTTTTTTTTTTCCTGTGTCTTGTTTTCATTTATTGCCCTTTTTTTTAAACAAACATTTACTTGAGAGACAGTATGGCAGTAATTGGTATGTCATGACAAGCAGTACGTATTTAGAAGACCAGAATGGCAGGCATTCCGAGCACGACCCTACCATTGCACACTGCCATCTTCAGTGCAGCAGCTTAGTTCACAGGTATCAGCATATATAGTTAGTCAGGGTGAGAATCCTACCAATTAACTGCTAGTTTCAAAAACCTGCTACAGATTCTCAGGATCCTTGCCTTGCCCATCTTGTGCGTATAAATGTATGGCTTTGCCCCATCATGTTTCCCAACTTTTTTCCTTGCCCACTCCTCATTGTCCAGTCCTCAAGTTCTTGCTTTCCTTTTAATTGTGTTTAATTCCTTTTATTTGTATTTCTTCTTTTGAGTTCTTATACTAGCGAGACTACGATATTTACACATGTGGGTCTGGGTTAGTTCACTTATGAGTATATGTTCAAGTGGCATCCACTTCAATATGAAGGCTTTGAGTTTATCATTCTTTATAGCTGAGTAATACTCCATTGTATAAAAATACCACATCTTCTTTATCAATTCTTCAGGTGACGGGCATCTTGGTTGTTTCCAAGATCTGGCTATCACAAATTGTGCTGCTATAAACATAGGCACACATATAGGCTCACACTTCCCTATGATATGATGTTTTCAAATCCTCTGGGAAAATTCCCAGGAGAGGAATAGCTGGTTTAAAGGGGATTTCCAGACCAACTTTTCTAAGGAGTCTCCATACTGATTTCCATAACGGTTGCACCAGTCTACACTCCCACCAGCAGTGCAGAAGGGTTCCTTTTTCCCCACAGCCTCTCCAACATTTGTTGTTGGGTGATTTCTTTATGATAGCCATTCTTTCTGGGGTGAGATGGTATCTCAGTGTTGTTTTAATTTGAATTTCATGGATGGCTAGTGATGTGGAGCATTTTTTCATATATTTATTCGCTTCTTTAATTTCATCCTCTGAGAAGTGTGTGTTCATCTCGGATGCCCATTTTTGGATTGGATCTTTAAATTTGGGGCCCTAGTTGTTTTTTAATTTGAAGAAGGGAACTTGCTAAGTTGCCTGGGGAGCTCGAACTTGTGGTTTCTCCTGCCTCATCCTTCCAAACTTAAACAAATCAGAAAAAGAAAGTGAACTTCATTGTTCCCTAACTGAAAAGTTCAGAAGTTGGAGCGAATGAGGTCCAGGAGCTCCAGTGCCTCTTCTCCCCTCCCCTCCTTTCCCTCTCTCTTTCCCCCTTCATCAGTGGAATCTCTGGGATACTTTGTTTTGCAGCTCGGTTATCCCTTCATCCCTAGACTGATGTCAGGGTCCTGGCGCTGGCACGTGTCCGCCCCCGGGCGGGCCTGCTCACACTTCTGGAGCAGCGCTAGGTGGACACGGCTGTAACACGTGGGACTTCTCCTAAGAACGTCATGAAAGCAGGAGAGCTGTGGTCCCTCTGCTTGGAATAGCGAGCGCAGTCTGTACACACGCTATTTCCAGCCCCAGGCTGTGAGTCCTGCTTTGTGGAGCACGGACGCTTGTGCCCAGCCAGCCTGGTACTCCTGAGATCTCCACACCCAGCACTTCCCTGCCTTTGCTCTTTCAGGCCAATGAGATGCTGTTCTGCGGGCGGAAGCTCACTGCTCAGGAGGCGTGCAGCCGGGGCCTGGTGTCGCAGGTCTTCTGGCCCACCACGTTCAGCCAGGAAGTCATGCTGCGTGTCAAGGAGATGGCATCGTGCAGTGCCGTGGTGAGTTCCGTGTGTCCATGTGCCAGTCCTTCCTGCAGATCCATCTCGCACGCGAGGACAGCCAGGCTCATAGGGACTGACCCATGTGGGAGAGGCCTGCAGGGTCAGACACTGCCCTGTGGCATGCCTTTCAGTGGGGGATGTGTGCTCAGCCTTCCTGGCTGTCCTCCTCCCCCCCCACAGGCAGAAGAGCCTCACTGCCCAGTGTAGAGTACACTGCTCTCCACTGTACACACATGCCAAAAGCACTAAATGCCTACATGCTTCTGTGTGGGTGTTTTAATTTTTATTAGTGCACGTTTGCCATACATAATGACTACCTTCTTCATGGGTGGTTGGTCTGTGTGCATAACACGTTTAACTTTTTATGTCCTTCCCCCTGAATCTCCTGGTCCCCTTCCTATTTGCAGAAGATCTCTCTCCCTGCTCTCTACTCCATATCTTTTGTTTTGCTCAAAGAAATGAGAAGCTTGGGCAAATAAAAGACAAGGGCTGGAACTGGCCTAGACGTGGCTGGACTAGGATGCACTGTCCCTGTGTTTCATTTCTTCTGCCTACTGAGAGCTTGGCATGTCTAATGATTGCTGTTTGACTCTGAAGATGCATTGAAAAATAGATGAATAACACCTCTGCAGAGGCGCCACTTTTTAATTAAATGTCGATTTTTTTCCTGACTACCACCATGAGCATAGGAGGTGAATGTCCTGTGGGAGGTGGGAAGGAAAGGCTGGTGCTGGAGCCAAGGGCCGGCTCCAGAGCTGAGATGTGGGCCCAGGCTCTGCACATGTTGGACCAAGGGGCCCGGGGCTGGGCTGGTGGGACCCAGGCTTCGATCGGTGTTCCTTCTGCCCGACCCATCCAGCTGTTGTGATGCTTCTGATGGGCCTAGTCTGCCCCTTATTGGGCACCTGCCCTTCTCTGTGAGAGCTGAATAGTAGCTGTAATGATGGTCTCCATGCCAGGGTGACAACCACAGCCCTTGCTGTTCTACATGGCTTTGTTTTCCTCTTCTCAATGATACACATTACCAATTCATGCTGGAAAATCTGGCATCCCAGGAAACCTCACTGCCCTGGGTACATGGGTGTGATTTGTCACCCCAGGCCAGCTTTGCCGAGGGACAGGCAGCATCTGAGTGGAGAACACATTACGTTGCAGGCAGGCACCGCCTGTGCCAGCTAGCACAGGGCACAAGATGGGCAGGGAGGCCTAGGAGGAGGGCAAGAGGGGCCTGGGCTGCAGGGCACACAGCTGCTGGAAGGACGTTTGAGGGGACGCACTCTTAGGAGAGGCCTGCGGACCGGAGACACCACAGGGAACTCCAGGGCTCTGGGTGGTTTCTGAAGAAGGGCTGTACTCCAGGATAGGGAAGTGTGTGGCCTCCGGGGATCCCGAGGAGGAGAGAGGCCTGCTAGCGCCTTCCCACCACCCAGCCTCCTCTCAGGCCTCCCACACCTGGAACGCAGCATGTTAGGATGCTGTGAACAAAGCCTTGATCTCAGCTAGGCCTATGGAGGAGCCTGTGTAAGGGCTGCACCTCTGTTGCTAGGAAGGAGGCAGCAGCGTGGCCTTGGGGATCAGCCAGGCCACTGTCTGATTCGCCAGCAGCTGCAGGGGGAGCCCAGGGCCCGTCACCCCCTCTAGGCCCTTCATCTGTGATGGAGTGTCAAAAGGATGTATTTCTAGAATAAGAGGAGGAAGTGAAAGAATTCAGGAAAAGGACATTAGGTAGATACTGACTGTAGTGGAATTATTACTTCTACTACTATTATTATGATTATTACTCAATACTATGACTTATTGCTGTTACTACGATTAGTAATAATGTGAGCACTATGATTATTCATTACTGTGATGATTACTGCATTATTTCTATAATGATTATTGCTTAATACTGTGCCGGTGATGGCCATGATACTATGATTTGTTTTTGCCTGTTACTATAATTATTATCACTATGTTTGCTGAAATTCTTTATTCTTACGATTATCACTATGATTGCTGGATTATTATTGTTCATTACTATGGTTGGTATAATCATTACCCATTCTGACAGTTATTGTATGAGGATTGTTATAGTTATTATTACTCCTTGCTACAGGTATTACTGCCATTATTACTACTGTTCTTACTACTAAGCCTAGAAGGGCCTCGCTGTTAGGTAGGCCATATATATTTGGGAAACCATTAGTTCATTTTATTACCTCTTTCCCTCTTCTCAAAGACCCTTGAGTTGATGCCACTGTCTGGACAGGTCATGACAATGAACCCGCTCATGCCATTGGGGAAGTTCAGGCAGTGGATGCCCACAGAAGACGGCACTGAGTTGATTTCACCCACGGGTGAAAGGCAAGGCTCTGTGGTTGGGCTTCCATGGGCCGCAGCCTTCCTGGGGTAGAAGACTCAACATTTTACCTAGCTAGACTCTGTCTGTGATAATGCTGGAATATGGAACCAGCAGGCCAGGCTCAAGGCCAAAGTCACCTTGCGGTGACACCAGAAAGTGGCTCGTTGCCTCTGGACTGCGTGCCTAGTCCCTGGGCTGGCTAACCAGGCCTGTGCCTTTCCCCGCAGGTGTTAGAAGAGTCCAAATGCCTGGTGCGCAGCTTCCTGAAGTCGGTGCTGGAGGAGGTGAACGAGAAGGAGTGCGTCATGCTCAAGCAGCTCTGGAGCTCCTCCAAAGGCCTGGACTCCCTGTTCAGCTACCTGCAGGACAAGATCTACGAGGTCTGAAGCCCGCGCACAAGGGCCTCTGGCTGCGCCTCAGCTTGTGCTCCGGCCGTCAGAGCCCAGCGTCTGCGCGGTCGAGGAGTTCCTCCTGGTGTCTCTGCGCACCTGGGGTTGTGTCCATCTCCTCGTGTTCTTTGGTTGTTCCTCATTGGTTTGATTTTGTGTGATGGTGGGAAACGAGCACACTTGGCCTCCCCCTGCCCTGCCCCACAGGGCTCGCGAGGGTTCTGCCGAGGCCTGCTGCCCTTCCCCACTAGCTGAAATGCACCATCATGGTCCAGGAAGGGGAGCCCACTCTTCCCCCATGCTTCCGACTCAGGCTGTGTCTACACAGTGCCTCTGATTTGGAGACGAGGCCAGAGTGGCTTGCTCTGGTTGATCCATCCTAGCGAATTCTCAGAGCCACGAGCAAGCGGTAGTCTAGACCTGGCTTCCGTCTCCTCTCTGATGCAGTCTGTGTGACAATTAGGGCTTGGTCTTAAAATCCAACTGAGTGATTTACAAACCCAGATATTGTACATTTAGAAATGTTTTGTTAAATATATATTTTTAAGACAATGTAAGTGGAAATTCTGATAATTTATGTATATTATATGTAAAGCTAGTTTTGCAAAAAAGAAAAACCATGAACTACTAGGAAAATGTTTTCTTTAATAGGATTTATTTTATTTATTTATTTTTTGTTTATATATTATGATGTCTGTCGTTCACACAGATGTTATTTTCATACTGTCCTGGACCAAATGCCATTCAAGGTTCGTTCTGTTTGGTGCATTCTAGCTGTGAAGTGCGTAGAGAAGAGAGCAGGAGGATTTCTGTGGATAGAGGAACAGCTCCGCATCAGACCCTCTTGGTGTAGCTGTAGTGACAGAATACTGGTTCCTTAGTCTTGTCTGTAGGGAAAATCATGAAGGGATTTTCTCTTCTTTCTCTGTTTTTAAAACTGATAAAGGGCTCTCTGCTTAAATGGTCCCCAGACATTCCTAGTTCCTACTCTTAAGACATAAGGAACAGCTGGGAGCAGGCCCTGAAAAAGGCCCTGTGCGGTAGCGCGTGGCCCACCACAAGACTTTTCTTTGTGCAAGTGACTGCCTTTCGATTTCAGAGACCATTTCTCCCATGTGTATGTTGGCCGCTGCTTTGGGCCTGGCAGGAGTGTGGGGCGGAGTTCCCATCCGCTGCACATTGTATACGGTCTGAGTCTTGAGTCTTTGCCTTCAGAAGCCCCAGTGGCCCATCTTTAGGAACGGTCCCCTGCTTTCTGTTCTGATTCCAGTCTGGGCAATTGTGTTCAGTATCTATAGGAACAGTATCCAGATTCTCTTTGGAAGTGGAAGAAGATGTTGAGAAATTTATTTCACTCAACATTCACCTTTGTTTCTTCCTGAAAGGACCAGAAATGTCTTAGCTTTGGGAATATCATTAATTGCAAAATGCTGAATAGTTTGTGGATCTGTAATGACCAAGGTAGGCAGGTGAAACCACATCTAAGGTGGAATTCAAGCTGTTAATTTGTAGGTTCAGGGTGTAACAGGAGGTATTCTCCAAGCGGCTACATTTTGGTTGTTTGCATAAAGTGAGTGAAATCCATTTACTTACAGTAAATCTATCTGGAATGAAAAATACCAGGTTATGTTAAAGTTTACCCTAAGAGCATTCTCTAGGTAGTGTTTTTTTTTAAAAATCTTGTACCCCAGTGTCCTCTCTTCACCTATGAGAAGCTTTCCTACCAACCCTAATCCCTACCCTATATCTCACCCTCCCTAGAGCCCGGGCAGGTCTTTGAGGAATCGTCAAGGGCCTGGCAACCCCGTCCTCGAATTCTTTTGGGTTTTGCAGCTATGGGTAGGAAGCTGAGAGCGCGTCTCCTTAGTGGAGGACTCTTGTGCACGTCCGCCCCACTCCTCCCATGGTCTCCCCTGCCTTCTGCCACAATCCTGATTATGCCTGACATCTGGCGTCCTGTGGTGGAGCCATTGTAGTGCGCAGCCCTACTCCCAGGGGACTTTCTACAGCACTTCTGACAAGGTCCTCATACCTCCTCGCGGTTAGGAAGTTAGAGCCTAATGCGGATGTCACACCTGTGTCTCTTCCCACTCAGAAATAAGGTAAATAGGTAGAGGGCATTGCCGCTCCTTGCTAAGAGTAAAACTGCATAACTATGAGAAGGAAGTAGAGTACTTGAAATATTATTCTTGTTTGGTATAGATGAAACTAGAAAACGGTCACTCAGAAGCATGAAATACCTACTTTCCCTATATGAAGTTTAGTATGAGGGTGGAAAAATAATAATTCCAGTACACTTTGAATAACGCAGCTCTATCTCTGAATAGCCACATTTAAAAATAGCCTTGACTAAATGCTGAATTGCATTTCTCATTATGATGGTTAGTTTCAAAACCTTTAAACAACTTTTGAAAAATTTGTAAACTTTTTTTAATTTTGAATTTAGTCATATTCATGAAATTTTTCCAATCTAGTTTCTGTGGAAATTTTTTTAACAAAGAGAAACAAATAGAAAAATCTGCAAATCTTCCTAAGTGGATATTTAAAATGCAGAATTGCTCCTCTTCTGTGTTTCTGTGTTCAGATACCTAGATTTGTTGTATATATTAGTCTAGACATTCACTAATATACACAGTATTTAAGACTCTAAAGGAGATTTCTTAAGTATTTTATTTTATTCTCTGTAAATGGTTTTGTAAAATCTTTAAAAAAAATCTACACTTTGCCTTTGTAGATACATCTTTGAGGGTTGTCTTGCATGTATATTTTTGTTGTCAATAAGTGTTGCTTAGTTCTTTCTGCAAATTTTGGTTCAAATGCTTATAGACTTTAATACAGTATATATTTTCAAAATATAAACTTTTATATTTCTGTGGTAAGTTAGGATATGCGTTTTAGGCAATCTTTTCCATTAATAACACTTGTTCTTTAAAAAAACTAACATAGTGGTTTGGTGCCAACATTTTTATTTTGTTCTTCATGTTTTTAAAAATCTACTGCTCTTATATTGTTAGAGAGCAAGTTCTTTTATTTCTAGAAGTAACTGACTTTGAAATATCATTTGGAAACATACTGAATTTGTGAATAAGCCTTACCATTAGGATCAGTAAACTTTCCAACCTTTGCAAAGATTTCCCCATAAATTCTCACAGTGTGGCAGGTGATGGGAGTTTGTGAACAGGGCCTTAAGCTTGTTGCAAAAATAATAATAAAAGGGTAATACGGGTTGTTTCCTTCATGTAAGCCATGTTGATAGGCTTAGTGCAGTCTATTAGTTGTGGCTAAATCTGAAGAGTTTGGGTGAGTTGATGGTGGCAGGGACCAGATAGATGCTTTGGTGACTGTCCTTGGGTGTAACGTTGGCCCAAGAACGGGTTTTCTGGAGCCAATTCCTTCTATTCACCTGGGTTAGACACAGTGATGGGAGGGCTGCTGGGTAGTCATTTGTTCTGCCCAAATGGCACTTCCTGCTCCCGGCCCTGGTGGTGGACTCTGGCTTCCATGGGGTTGACAAGTCCAGTCGGGCTGTGGTGAGTGCTCCTTGAGAAATGTTAACGAAGTTTACAGACGAGTCTTACTGTGTAGACAATCTGAAGTCAGTTTTACATAATCAGCATTTCCATGTGTCCTCAATGTCCCCTCAGTGAACTCTGTGTGTTGAGCCCTACTAACTTGGAGTTACGACAGGATGCCAGACCTGCTCATCAGCTGAGTTTGTCTACCCAGGGCCATCTCAGTGGAGAAAAGCCAGTCATGGGGATAGATGACAATGAGGCCAGTGTATTTGGGATCTAATAAAACCAGCTAGACTTTGGCCATAATTTTAAAAAATTAAAATTCCTTTTGCTTGGCCAAAATTGAGTATCACCAACTGATCTTCCTTACTAACACTTTTGATCTAAGATTTTGATTCCCTGGTGATGGTATGGCTGAGGTCCTTTGGCCCATCTTTAAGAAGTGTCCATAAGGTCTTCCTATCAACCACTAGGGTGGAGATTTGCAGATTTACTTTGCATTTTTGTAGTGTGTGTCACAGTCAGAGAAGCCGGGATCTGGTGTTGGGCTTCAGCTCTGATGTCTCAGGGGCTTGACCTCACTCCACGGGCCCAACATCTGGCCTGACGCCGGAGCTCATTGTGTTGACTTTGGGAAGTTCAGAAGGTGTAGAGTTTTCCATCTAGTATTGAATTTGTCCCTGTGCCATTAGTCTCAGCTTGAAGTCGTTTGCCAGTGTCTGCATTGATAGAATTGTGAAAATATTGCCTTTCATAAAATCAAGGACCAAAGAATTCCATTACTCCAACAAAGCACGAGCCTCATAGATTTTGGGCCTATCCAGGTGGAGGAATGCGAGCTCGACCACGCAGAGAGGCTGCCTGTTTCCCCAACCTCGTGCTCCCCACAGCTGACCAGACACAGGGACTCGTCACATGGAGAAGGCTCTGAAACAGGAGTTTCTAGGACTGAAACTTACTCTCTCAGGTGGTGTTTCTGCTGTATAGTTCTAAGCGTTTCATTTGTATCATAAAAAGTGGCAATCTGGCATTTCTCTGGGTTTATCTGACCAACGTAGATGTCTCTGTTTGCATGAGTCTCCGACGTGACTTTTACAGATGTGTCTATGCTGAGCAGCAGGACCTAAGACTGCCACGTCTCCACTGCTTTAGTTCTGCATCAACCCATTCCAGTTCTGGTTTGGCAGGGAGGTTGGGGGTGGGATTTTCCTCAGTTCTCACACCAGGTGATGTTCTATTCTCATTCATGATGAAATCATTGACCTATTAACCAATTGAGAAATGATGGATGTTGAAGAAGTGCTGTTCTATTGGTAAGGCTTATTACCAAACCTCTTATAATGAAGCAGGCTACCAAAAACTTACCCAGCCCACCCTAAGAGTATTTGGGTTGGGTCATGGGTGTAGCATATACACCAAAATCTCAAGACCTTTGCAAATTAGACTACTTATTTTATTTTGCAGATTATCATGGGAGAGTCCTTAACTAGTTCTGAACATTTATAAGTATGAGTACTTCATAGAGCTAGAAAGCAGGTACAGTGGACCCATCCTCACCATGTTGTAAATATTTCCTGAAACTGGGTGCAGTCCGGAGGGATAATAACTTTCTGATTTATCAAATGCTGACTGTCTAGAGCAAATTGTATACTCTGTTTGTGAATGGTCCTGTAACGTGTATGAACACATTTCTGGGTGCCTTAGAAGTTGTATTTTTCATGTGTGCTAATATGCAGTATTTATACATTGTGAGAAGCTGCTTTGAATAAAAAGGTTGAAACTTCGTCTCCATTTGCGTGTTTCCCCCTTTTGCAGCCTGGATGTAATGTTCATGAGCAGGTTCTATGGTTTCTAAATAGAGAAGTTTCCAGATCTCCTGGGGGTTGAGAGCTGAGATTCCTGGCTTGTGTTGGGCTTCCTGGAAGCCCAAGCACCTGGCTCCCCGCCCAGGTCTGGCCTGGGGCCTCAGGTACTCAAGAAAGCAGTCACAGGGCAGGGTAAGGGTGCGGGTGCCACAGGACTTAACCCAGCTGTGCAGTATGATTTTTTTTAGCGGACTGAGCCAGCATCTGCCCTGCCCTGACAACGTGCATCTTTTATACCAGGGCCTCCCTCTTCACTAGGAATGAACTTCTGCAGAACTTGACTTGTGCATTTCCTACTGTGATTCATAAACTCCTTGTCACTGTGAACACGGCCCTCTGACATACGTGATCACAGTGTTTTTTGCATCACCCCCATGGGTGTCAGGAGGGGCCACACTGGTCGTGCCTGGCTTCCAGAGCCTGGCCACACATACATCGTGAGGGTTGCAGGAAGGAGAAAGGAAATCTCTCAAAGGATTGACTTGAGATAATCATCCCATCGACCTGTCTGTCTGTCCATGTGCCCACCTATCCATACATCATCTATTTATCTCACTGTCCATCTATCCACCATCCATCTGTCCATGTACCCACCCAGCCAGCCATCCTTCTGCTCATTCATTCTGCCTTCCGTCTGGCAGCCATTGTTGGGCCCTTGCTCTGCATTAGGAACTTCATGGATCATGGGGTGCATTACTCAGTCTCTCCCTAAAGGAGCTTGGGGCTTGGATGACTCAGTCTCTACCTTAAGGAGTTAGGGAGCAAGGTGGATCCACAACAGAGCTCTAGGGCACAGCTCTCTTGGCACCTTGGAGCCAAGAAGATGGAGTGACACTCAGCATTCACATCTGTCTGGGCCAGACCGGGAGGGAGACCAGAGTTTCCTCTTGCTGCTTTCTGTCTTTGATGTCATCATGGCCATCGTCGTCATCATCATCATTCTTGTAGGTACCCATTTGTGTCTGCCTCAAGGCCACCACTCCATCCAAGGTAGGTGGCCCAGGTCAACCTGGACAGTTCTTCACCTCGGCATCGAATGGCTCTTCCCACAGCTGGGGTAAGGCCTTGCGCATGCTCAGGACGTAGCACCTGTAAGACACACCCCGGCTCTCTGAACTGAGTCTGCTCTGACGGGATGCTGTGCTGGAAGAGGAAAGCAGAAAGCAAGCGAGACCCCCCGTCCGGTCAGAAATGAGCAGTTAAGTGAGTCGGGCTACGGGATGAGCAGTGATGCAGTGTGATCACACGAGTGATCTCAGTCTGCCCTCGCGTCCCTTTAGGCCTGCTTTATGAGGGAGGGCAGACCTTCCGAACCTCAGATGAGGTCTGGGTGGGCTTCAGAACCATTTTGTCACTCCCAGGCAACCCGCAGGTCCTCCCAGCTGTCAGCCGTTGGGGGACTGCCGTTGGCGATCACCATGCCCAGCTCCAGTCGGTCCCAAGCCATGTCCTTGCGTGCGCTCTGCTGCTGCTCTGGTTGGAAAGGAGACCAGGACAGATCTTTAGCGACTGGTGCCATGTGCAGACGGGGTTTTCATTCTCTGGGCCTCACTGATGTTTCCACCTCTCGCACAGGGAATTTTCTGGGTTCCTTGGCAACTCCTTCCTTTGACTGTGGGCAAACCCCCATCATGGCCAGAGGAACTCTAATAATAGTGGTCTCTTAGTCCCTTGTCAGCCCCTGCAAGTCTGGTCCACGACTACCTTTCCCAGTTGGGGTTTCTGGGTCCCAGGGCTCAATCTACTGTGTCCCTCACATGCTAGGAAGTTACAAATGTAAGGCCCCATTCTCCTTCCACCTGAGAGCCAAGGGGAAGCTCCGCCGTACTTTCCATGCGTGTCTGTCCTTCTAGGGAGCAGAGTTCTTTGCCAAGCATTCCCACCAAAAAAAAAAAAAAAAAAAAAAAAGGCTAGGTGCACGCAGACTGCATCTGGATGTCATGCCAGCCCCTCAGAGATGGTTTCAGTGTGCTGGTGGTCGTGTCTTCCACAAAAAACACTAGGGCTTCAGGTCATAATACTTACATAGACTTCCACTCCAAGTGAGTTGGGAGCCCTGGGAGGATGCAGGGTGGCCTGGAATAACTTGTGCAAACCAAGATGTGGAGGGGGGCTGGTCGGGGAGACGGGAGAAGGCATCTGGGGTTCATGTGAGGGGTGGGCCTGGGTCATTGGAAGCTGGAATCACCCTCACTAAGGCAGGAACAGCTCTGGAACTTGGGGGGGCAGAAGGCCTGGGGGCGCTGTCGGGAGCCCAGCGAGAGCAGGGACCATGGGCACCAGATGAGTGTGTGGCCTCAGCCCTGTGCCTGCGGCTGGAATGTTTTGAGTTGAAGTAACTCTGCACACATTTGTCTGTGTGGATGTATATAGGTAGAGTTTTAAAAATATGATACTTATTTAAATACATAACATCATTGATACGTAAAATTAGATTATGCTGTATGAAACTGCTGGCAGTGCAGTCATTTTCATTGATTAAGTGAAATTCACTTATGAGATCAGTATATAAGTGAGTGTTGTGTTTAGTTCATTGCTAACATCTGATCACTAATGA